CTCGTCTCACCCTCGTCGTCTCCTTTGTCCTCTTAGCCTCCTCTCGCCAATCTCTCGATGGTCCTTTGCGTCCTCGTACTCGGCCTCGGTGACGGCGATCTCGCGCTTCCTTTACAAGACACTCGGCTCGCTCGTCCACAGAAAGAGTGAGGCCCGGGAGCTCCCGGCGGATTCTCGCAGACTGCTTAGCGCTCCCCCCCTCCTGCGGGGGGAGGTAGTCACGCTGATTGGCTTCCGCGTGTCACGGCATTCGTGCGTGCCGTGCAGGCCCGCGCGGCCTTGAATCCTCGCTCCTGCGAGCTCGCAATGAGGATGTCTGTCAAGGGTGGCGTCCTTATTTACGGTCCCTGCACTTCCTGGCCTGGCGGAGGAGATCGGGATGGATTTCCTCCCTGCTCGTCGGGTCTTAGGCTCCCGACGGCGTCCGTCCGGCCCCTCCAGGGTGGCCGGGAATTCTGGCCTCCTCCGATGCTCTGCAAGGGGTACATGGTGAAAGTATGGTTTCCCTTATTCTCGACAGCGGTTAGAAGCAATAATATAAAATGGTACAACCTGCTAATCCGGGCTCCCGGATGTGTGCCCTTCTCTCTGCTCTGCGGCCGTCCTTACGATCCGGTCCTTCTTCTGTCTTCCTTCCAAGTGTGGCGGGCGAGACGGCACGATGATACAATTGCATTTCACGGTAGCTGCCGAGCGTGATCCGTGGCGCGTCTACGCTTCCTGATACGCTTGGTCATTACGCAAAAGAGATGCTAATATAAAAGAATAAAATCTGCCAAGTAAATTAAATGACGCGAATTTCAACGCACATTCGCAGGTGCGTTTGCACGCGCGCTCGCATGCGCTCTCGCCTACGCGCTCGCCCTTCGAGCCGGTAGGAAGCACGAGTCCGCCGTCGACAAGTCCGCACAGTGACGGACAAAATGTCACGTCACAGTACATATAATATAGACAACAAATCTGTTAAAACGAATCTTTTACATCAATTGGAATAACAATCTGTTAATTCTAAAACTTCGCGGGAGATATTCAAAGTATGTGTGTTTGACATGACAGATATTCTAACCTTGTTAATGTGAAAGTTCATGTAAACAGATTTAACGCGTAGAAAATTAATGAATTATATTAATGAATCCATGATAATATTACAAATTTATTTGCAAGCTGTTGCCATGCTCTGTGACTACCCTTATGACCTATTAAGCCTGTTTATTTTTGCTGCACTCTATCACTAGTGCAATAAATTAATAGACTGAAATAAATAATTTTCTTAATATATATTTCTTAAATAGTTATTTAGCAGAATTTATTGAAATACATTGAATTATGTTAATAATAATTGGTCATAATTACACTAAATAATTGGTGGTATTAATTAATTCCCATTTAAAATTTTACTTAATTCTTTATAATCTTAACACGAGACAGAATTAGTTTCAGAAATTCATTCATCTCTAATTTAAGAAAAAATTATTAGCCGAGATATAACTTAATATCCATTGAAAAGTAAGTTCAAGGACACAAGACATTATTAGCTTCTTGCAAAGACATGTGAGAATTACAAGTGTCCATACAATCCATTAAACGTTGTTAAAATTCGAGTAATTCAATATAACCAATCTATATAAACGTTTTCACATAAAATTATAGAAAAAACGCATGTCCCGGAATCTACCACTCTGTCTCTACATTTGTATTATCTATGGGTAGATTTAAGGACACAGACATTATTAGCTTTTTGCAAACATTTTCCTGTAATTTTATGTAAAAACATTTTGTACGCGCTACATGCATGGCGTTGGTAATAGCAGTGAGCATGAGCTTAATGAGATCGCGTCTTATTGCGCTTCGGCCTGTGGCGTTGGTATCACTTATGGCGTTGGTATCGATAGTTAGGGAGCAAGCCGAGTAGCATGCGTTACCTTCGTAAATTTAGTTAGTCTATGGTTTTGTCGATCTCTCGAGAAGATCAAGCGTTATTATTTCTCCGCTCTGTAAAGAACGTTCCTGTGAGACAATAAAATTTCCTTTTGGCAAAAATTCAAGCACATTGTTCTACATTGAGAAAATAGCGTCCATATACGCAAGCCACAAGGCTATCATACACATTGGTCCTTCGAACACGGATTCCAAAGCAGGATAGATAACGGATGGATTACAGAGACAAAAAGGGGATACGTATAAATACTCGAGGAAACAATAATATCGCACGATTTCAAACGAAGTAATACGGTAAAAGTATGAACATTCAGCAAAATTTATGTTGAAAGCATAACCAAGGTAAGAGCATTAGTGCACGAATTCTGTTGCGTCATATTTGTGATTAGCTTACGCGCAGTTGCCTGTGGTGATCGTAACGCCATTTTGTAACGGCTACTAGAACATTCGTCAGGATTTTATTAGAGTAAGGGGCACACACACAGCCATATGCAGACATAGTCTCATCTCACAAAGACTAGCATTTCAGACAAAATGAATACCTTAATGCTAGCAGAAGCAAAAGGAAAAAGATCTCATATAAAGACAATGGCCACGCGTTTAAAGACATTCCTAGATAACTTTCGGGTTGAACAGGGATCAAAATATGACATTTCTGAGCGCAAATTGAGGTTAGCCGAGCTTTGGACTCAGTTTGACGCGATTCAATCGATAGTAGAGACACTGGAAAATCCCGATTCGTCAATCACAGATAAGGAAACGCTCCTTGATCTGCAGATTAAGCAGCGAGATAGCTTTAAAGCTCCCTATTTCGCGCTTATGTCGCGATATGAAGCAACACTTGAACAACTTAATCCGTCAGAAACGCAGGCAGCTACGCGCAATACAAATAATCGTACTGCTGTTTCAAGGGAGACACATGTTCGTCTTCCGAAAATAGAATTGCCAGTTTTTGCAGGATCATATGAAGATTGGTATTCATATCGGGATACTTTTGAAAAATTAATCCATGAAAATGATAGGTTAGCCGACATAGAGAAATTTCATTACCTACGTTCATCATTGAAGGACAAGGCTGCAGAAGTTATAAAATCAATAGAGACCACAACTGAAAACTATCACGAGGCATGGGCGGCGGTGAAAGAAAGGTTTGATAACAAACGTTGGATTGTTCAAAGGCATATTCGGGCAATCTTTGATACACCAGCACTTGTAAAGGAGAATCATGCTGCTATGCGTGAGTTGCTCGACACAATATTTAAACACGTGTGAGCTTTAAAGGCTATGAAAAGGCCTACCGAGGCATGGGATGACCTTTTGATTCACCTCATTGTGTCCAAGCTGGACGCAGCGACAAACAAGGCTTGGGAGACAACCGTTATTGACAATAATTTACCGGACCTGAAAACTTTGACCGACTTTTTGACAAGACGTTGTCAAGCATTAGAATCTATTAACAGTAGAGCTCAGAGTAGTTCAGTAAGTAACGCTAATCAGAAACAAGTGAGTAAGTATAAGAATACACCTGTCGCAAATGTCTCTAATACCAATCTCGTGTGCGTCCTATGTAAAGGTAATCATCTGTTGTACCATTGCGAAGCATTTATTAAGCTATCTATCGATGAAAGAATAAAAACAGTCAGAAAGGCACATCTCTGTATCAATTGTTTGAGATCATCACATCAAGCAAAGGTCTGCAATTCGGGCTCTTGTCGCAAATGCAGCAAAAGGCATAACACCCTGTTACACCTATCTAATACAAATAATACCGATCAAGCATCAGCATCGCAAATAAACACCTCTCAATCAGAGAAGGCTCTTCCTGTTTCAACATAATGTGTTTCAAGTAATCTTGCATTTAGCATTTTATTGTCAACCGCGGTAATTCACGTATATGATACAAATAACCAAGTTCATTCATGTAGGGCTTTGCTTGACAGTGGATCACAGATGAACTTTGTGACGCAAGAATTTGTTGATCGTTTGAAGCTGTCGGAAATCTCTCTTGATATCTCAATAGCAGGCGTCATGGAGGGAGTCGTGCGCGCAAATAAAATTGTCAAGTTAGCTATTAAGTCGCGTTTCAATAGTTTTCAAGAAATTATAGAATGCGTAGTGCTACCAAAGATTACTCAACGCTTACCACAACAATCCGTTTCGATTCAAAGTCTAACAATACCTAAGAATATAAGGTTGGCAGATCCCAACTTTCACCTATCAGCAGACATCGATATGTTAATCGGTGCTGAAGTATTCTGGAGAATTCTATGTGCAGGTCAAATTAAACATTCAAGGTCGCAACCAATCTTTCAAAAAACGCCCTTTGGTTGGGTAATCTCAGGTTGTACGTCAAACGTTATCGCTGAGCCAATATCCACAGTAAATTTTCACGTAAGCCAATTCGATGAGTTAAATCACAATTTAAAGAGGTTTTGGGAGGTGGAGCATCTTTCCAAACCAAGGGACTCTGAAGAAGAAGCATGCAACAAATTATTTTTGGAAGGAGTAAGTCATAATGAGGAGGGACGTTACGTCGTAAAGTTACCAGTCAAATCAGACATCCTGGCCAATCTAGGAGAGTCTCGCGAAATGGCAGTGCGGCGCTTCAAGAAACTGGAAGCTCGCTTAATGGCACAGCCAAATTTGTACGCGGAATACAAAAGATTCATGGAAGAGACATTAGGACATATGTAGGAAATAAGCGAAGAGTTAGTGACCCGCACAAGCGTTCCTTCATTCTACCTACCCCATCACGTCGTTCGGAATGAAGTAAGCCTCACGACGAAACTCAGGGTTGTGTTTGATGGCTCCTGTAAAACCACTACGGGTGTCTCACTCAATGACGCATTGATGATTGGGCCTAACCTACAAGAGGATTTATTTTCCATTGTAATTAGATTCCGTACTTTTAGGATTGCCATCACTGCTGACATAGCGAAGATGTACCGACAGGTATTAATTGATCCAAATCAAACAGCATTACAGCGCATCGTATGGCGAAGTGACAGTTCCCAATCACTAAAGACATTCGAGTTGACAACAGTGACTTATGGTACTTCTTCTGCATCTTTCTTGGCCATCCGAGCTCTAAGGAAGCTCGCAGAGGAGCATGCGGCACAATACCTACTGGCTTCGAGGATCGCATTGCGTGATTTCTATGTCGACGATCTCGTGTCAGGTGCGGACACGTTGGAGGAGGCAACACAACTAAAAAACGAGTTAACCCAACTTTTGCAAGAGGGAAGGTTCGAATTAAGAAAATGGTCATTAAATGAACTATCTCTTGGAGACAATTATTTCAATAATGACTATCGAGAATTTAATTTAGCAACAGATAAAGGTGCGGACACAAAGTCGCTGGGCCTTATTTGGAATTGTTCATCAGATTCGTTTAAATTGGATAACATTGGTCAACTTCCACCACTGAAAAAACTCACCAAAAGGAGTATCTTGTCACGCATCGCATTGATCTTCGATCCTCTGGGATTAATAGGTCCAGTAACAGTATGTGCAAAAATTGTAATGCAAGATCTATGGAGACTCAACACCGACTGGGATGAATCAGTACCGTTAACTTGCTATACAAAATGGAAGCGGTACGAACGAGAATTACCAATCTTAAGGAATATCAACGTCCCACGACTAGCCGTATCAAGTGAGCCACACACACGTTTGGAAATCCATGGATTCGCGGACGCGAGCGAACAGGCCTTTGGAGCGTGCATTTATTTGCGATCTACCTTGGCGAGCGGAGAGCATATTACGAATTTACTTTGTTCCAAATCCAGGGTAGCCCCATTAAAGAGTATATCGTTACCACGATTGGAGCTATGCGCAGCATTGATATTGGCACAATTATTAAGCAAAATCACTGAATCTCTTCCCTGTAAAATAGACGCCATTTGGTTACGGACGGACTCCACCATTGTCCTGTTCTGGATTCAGTCCTGCAGCAGATCATGGACTCCGTTTGTCGCCAATCGGGTGGGGGAAATACAGCAATTAACGCCGACTCAATATTGGCATCACATAAGCAGCCAGGACAACCCCGCTGATCCCCTCTCTAGAGGCGTTATGCCTAATGATATAATAGACTTGCAAATTTGGTGGGCGGGACCCCCGTGGCTGATTCAGGACGTGGATAAGTAGCCCAAGGAACAGTATATTACCAGATTGGAGGAAGTTCCTAAAAGGAAATCAAAGGCTATAATCGCAACCGCAATCTCCAGATTTCAATATATTCGGAATATTCTACATTCACTAAGCTTATCCGAGTCGTAGCATATATTTTGAGATTCGCGGAAAAGGCAAGAAAAAAGGAGTCACCAGAAACATTGCAAGCGCCAACGTAAAACAGCAGCAACACGATTCAACCCATCACGGCAAAGGAACAAGACCAAGCAATCACGCGGCTAGTAAAGATAATTCAAAGTGTGTATTTTTCAGAAGAACTTAGGTCACTAAACAAGCAAGGTGTTGTAGACAAAAAGAGTCCTATATTAAAACTTAGTCCATTCATCGATGAAATGGGAGTCCTAAGAGTGGGAGGTCGACATAAATCAGCAAGCATATCGTTCTCGGCAAAATACCCCACATTGCTTCCAGGGCATCACACATTCTCACAATTAATTGTGATGCATGAACACACAAGACATTTTCAGGGAGCACAAGCCACGCTAGCCGCAGTGAGGCAGAAGTATTGGCTCATATCAGCAAGAAATGTTGTTCGAAGCATAGTCCGAAAGTGTGTGATTTATTTTCGGTACAGTCCAACCCCAGCATCTGCAATTATAGGAAATCTTCCACAGTCTCGCGTAAACATACCTACCAGGGCATTCGAGAAATGCGGAATCGATTATGCTGGCCCCTTCTATTACAAGGAAAGAGTCAGAAGAAATGCTCAACTAAGAAAATGCTACATTGCAATCTTTGTATGCATGGCAACTAAGGCTGTTCACATCGAGCTAGCAGTCGATTTGACAGCAGAAGCATTCTTGAACGTGTTTAAGCGATTCACAGCAAGAAGAGGCTGTCCTGCGGACATATTTTCGGACAATGGTCTCAATTTCGTGGGAGCAGAACACGAGCTAAGCGAACTAACGCATCTTCTCCAAGATAAGGCAACACAAGGAAAGATTATGGAATATGCATTATGTCAGAGCATAAAATGGCACTTTATACCACCTAGGGCCCCACATCAAAGAGGACTCTGGGAGGCTGCAGTGAAGGCAACCAAAAGGCATTTAGTCAAAATGACGAAAGAAGCACATTTACAATGGGAAGAATTGGAGACTCTTCTCATTCAATGCGAGGCAATCCTAAATTCTCGCCCTATAACTCCGATATCGTCCGATCCTCGGAACCTCACATTCTTAACACCTGGCCATTTTTTAATAGGCACTCCTCTTACAGCGTGCCCTGAAGAACCAGTTGAAGGCATTCCAGCGAACCGACTTTCAAGATGGCAAATTCAGCAAATTAAGCAACAGTTTTGGCGACGCTGGAGTCGTGAATACTTACATTCCCTGCAACAAAGAAATAAATGGTATGCCTCCAAATCTCCAATTGATGTGGGTCAAGTAGTCATCCTAATGGAGGATCACGCGCCACCATTATCCTGGAACCTCGGGAGAATCCAAGAATTGCATCCCGGAGAGGAAGGTGTAACTCGTACCGTGACTGTTCGAACGGCCAAGGGAATTTATAAGCGTCCAATCACGTGGTTGTGTATACTTCCTATAGCAAATGAAGGTAGAGAGATGTCTAGCCAGATTAACCCTAGCGATAGCGGTTGAAAGATTAATTATAAGAGATATATCGTTTATTGTTATAAGATGCCAATCAACAGTTCATTTTTTAATGTACATTTTATTTCGTATGTTAACTGTCCTACAAATATTATCATAGCTGAAGTTACTGAGAACTTTGTAAGTCATTATTTTTATTTGAAAGATTATCCTTTCAAGGGCGGCGGCATGTACGCGCTACATGCATGGCGTTGGTAATGCAGTGAGCATGAGCTTAATGAGATCGCGTCTTATTGCGCTTCGGCCTGTGGCGTTGGTATCGCTTATGGCGGTGGTATCGATAGTTAGGGAGCAAGCCCAGTAGCATGCGTTACCTTCGTAAGTTAGTCTATGATTTTGTCGATCTCTCGAGAAGATCAAGTTATTATTTCTCCGCTCTGTAAAGAACGTTCCTGTGAGACAATAAAATTTCCTTTTGGCAAAAACTCAAACACATTGTTCTACATTGAGAAAATAGCGTCCACATACGCAAACCACAAGGCTATCATACACACATTTAAATAGTATCGATATATTGCATTCCTTGAATTATAACAACGATTAATAGATTGTAATTTCGTATGTTTTTACATTAAATTACAGAAAAATGTTTGCAAAAAGCTAATAATGTCTGTGTCCTTAAATCTACCCGTAGATAATATAAATATAGAGACCGAGTGACAGATTCCGTGACATGCGTTTTTTTTGTAATTTTATGGGAAAACGTTTAAATTGTATGGCTATGTTGCATTCCATGAATTGTAATAATGTTTAATAGATCGTATGGACACTTATAATTTCTCGTATATCTTTGCAGGAAGCTAATTATGTAGTGTGTCCTCAAATCTGCTTTTTAAGACTATACATCGAAAAATAGCTATATATCGGATAATAATTAATTTTTTCCTATTAAACCGGTGTTAAATGAATTCCTTTCGTCACAAGGAACCTACATATGCCATAAAAAGTAAAGGTTGGAAAATGACCTGAAATCCGCCGCTTTATATACACACACACATACATATATATAGGTATATGCAGATCGATTATTTTAAGGACATTATATACAATAATTGTATATGGTGTATAATTGGCTGTTGATTCGTGTATTTCTAATGTACTCAATATATGGAGTGATCCTGATT